GAAAGAGCCCTAATTGGCTGAGTGAAAAACTCGCAAGGAAATAAACAACAGAAGGGAAAACAATTCATAGCATAAAGACATATAAAAAGTGAACTGGGGGTATACCTTAGTGGTAAAGCACTTGCTTAACATCCATGGGACTCTGGGTTCAAACCCTAACACAGCCGAGAGAGACAGAGGCAGAGACACAGAGAGACAGAGGGAGAGAGAGACACACAGAGAGACAGAGAGTGGGAGAGACACAGCAATGTTGAGAATCTAGCCAATAGGGATTTTGAGAGGCCATTCTTTTCAGAGACTAGGTTTATGGAAAAGAGGATCATTTACGGAGAACCAAAGCTGGGTCATTAGTTAGATTTTAAATGCAAAGTAAGAATAAGCAGTCATGGGCAAAATTAAAATCTTAATGAATGAAATGCATCGATGATTTTCAGTGCTTTAAAATACGAGAGACCCGACAGAGCCAGTAATACATTTTCAACCATGAGGTCGTTGGGTGGTGAGAATGATCCGCGTGGTGAGGAGATGGCAGGAGCTGAGCGCTGGCCCATCGTGTCAGCGTTCTACCACCCCGCCCCGACCCCGCTAATGAAAAGCAGACGTGGCAGGTAAACATCCCCCATACTGGCTGTGCTCCAGGGGTGTAATGACAGAGGCTGCTCTCAGGAGTGTGAGTTGGGGCAGTGGGCATGAAGGAGGCATCAGAAAGCAGCTGCTTTCTCACTGCAGGGCCAAGGGGCTGGGACAAGTTTGGCCCTGGAGCAGGGCCTTGCAGGCTGAGTTCCTGAATGAAAATCTGGACACAAAGGGAAGAGGGAGTCCAGCCATTTCTTTTCCCTGTGACCTCCCTTGAGGATCTTGCGGTTCCAGAGGGTGACACTTCTCAAGGTCCTGGGGTGGTTTGTTTTCCACGGCTACTGTAGAGGGAGAAGGCAAGTTATTGACAACTTCAAAATGTAGCCCAAGAGGAGATTTATTAATGCTGGGCAAATGTGCCAGGTTACGTGTCCAGGTCGCATGACAGTGGAATTTTAACTACAACATGCCGAGCAGTCTCAGAAGTGGCTTGTTGTAGACCAAAGACAAAATATTTGTGCACTGCCACTTATTTTGCTCTGGGAATACTGTAGCTCAGTTGTTATGATTTTTAATTAAAAGTCGGGTTTTACAAGCATTTTTTGGTAGGACTTTTCTTAACCCTCCCTAATGTGTGTGTATGAGTGTGTGTGTGTGTGTGTGTGTGTGTGTGTGTGTGTGTGTTGAAAAGTAAGATTAGGGCAATGGAGTCCAAGGAAGTCCACCTTTTCAAATATCTGTGAGTCAAAATATCTTAGCCAACTGTCCCTCAGACAGTGGACTTCTATCTAGAACATATAAAGAATTAAGAAAATCAGCCCCCGCAAAATTCAAAGACTCAATCCAAAAATGGGCATCTGAGATGAATACACACTTCTCAGATGAAGAAATACAAATGGCAAATAAATATATGAAAAAAATGTTCAACATAATTAGTCATTTGAGAAATGCAGATTAAAACAATAGTGAGGTTATATCTCACCCCAGAAAGAATGCCTATCATCAAGAAATCAACCAGTAACAAATGCTGGAGGGGCTGTGGGGAAAATGAACCCTTCTGCACTGTTGGTGAGAGTGTAGACTGGTACAACCTCTGTGGAAATCAACTTGGAAATTCCTCAAAAAACTATGTCTAGTGGTCCCATTCAACCCAGCTATTCCCCTTCTAGGTATTTTTCCAGAAGCATTGAAAACATCATACCACAGCGATATATGTGCACCCATGTTTATAGCAGCGCAATTTGTCATAGCTAAATCATGGAAACAACCCAAATACCCATCAGTTGAGGAATGGATTAAAAAAGATGTGGTATTTTCATTCAGTGGAGTATTTGGTATAAAGAAAGATAAACTCAAGGCTTTTATATGTAAATGGGTGCAACTAGAGATGATATTCATAAGTGAAATAAATCAGACCCACATATGTAAGTATCATATTGTCTCCCTAGTGTAAGAAACTGAAAGAGTAAATAAAATCTGAAAGGTACAGTAGACATTGTGAAGGAGAAAAAAACTGCTCAAAAGGAAAGAATAACTGTGATGAGAGAAAGGAGAAAAGGAAGAAGGGAATCTATATCTATATCTATATCTATATATATACACACACATACACACACACACACACACAAGATAGCTAAGATAATTGCACTACTAATTTTTATTGGTTCCTTGAAAGGAACAGTTAGTGCTTAGTTATTTGATCAGTTTTGCATGCCTATATCTGGTAATCTGAGCAACTACTTTGAAGGTAACAATAAGTAATATAACAGCCATTGTTAATTTCCTATCATCTTATTTTGAAATTCTGTATTGTTTTTAATGGTTTTTAAAAGTTTTATTCTCTATAAAATAAAATAAAAAAGAATAAAGGTTTAGAATGAAAAACAAAAAAAGAAAAAACAAAAAAACCCAAATATCTGGGAATCAGCTCAGAAAAGAGAGACGACCTTCTATTTTTTTTCTTCTACCTACAGTGAGCTCCATGCATATATTTTGAATTAAGTGCACAGTTTTATGATATTCTGAGTTTTCTCAATTTCCTCAAAGCTAATCCCAAAACCAACGACAGCTTCCTTCCGGAATCCCCCAGAACACGTACGTTGGTATTCACCTACGGGAACTCTGCGTGTCCGTGAAGACTTTCTAAGGGCAAAGGTTTTTAGTCTGCTAGACCCCACTGTGCTCTTGCCTCTTCCAACTCCAGGCCAGGCTCTGCTGTCCTAATTAGAAGCCTCCTCCCTCCGCTGGGGCACACAGACCATCCAGGGGATCCCACTGTGCTACTACCTTAAGAGGGAGACCTGACATTCTAGTTTCCCAACACTGACAAGACAAAGAATGGTGACTGTCCATGTGCCTTGGCTACTGTTCCAGGTGGACGTTTAGAAGAGCTCAGCTCTTCTCTGACCTAAGCTGCTTCTGTGGTGGCTCTTTCAGCTGCAGCAGTGCAGCCTCGTCTCCCAGGAGTTAGCACTGCCTCCCACCTGCAGTGGCAGCCTGAGTTCTGTCCACTCTCCCAAGCCCCAAGGAGGTCCCCTGCTTTCTGTCCTCCCGTCGCCAGCACACCTCCCAGGAACGTCTCTCTTTCCTCCTCACTGTCAGTCCAGAGCCCGTGGTTGGTCTGTGCCCCTCAGTTCCTCCTACTCTGACCTCCCCTGTCTTTGGAGGTCCACTCCCGTACTGAATTCAGCTCCCCCTACCCCTGTGGCTCCTGGCTGCCACCACTTAGAGGACACCCCAGCCCAAGGTGGGGCTCCAGTCTCACTGGGACTGTCCTAGGTCATCTCTGGAGCTCTAAGAGACTTCTTGCCTCCGTGCAAATAAAATTCAGGCTCTTCCACTCTATTCATAGGGTGATCATTCCACTTCCAGTCACCTTTTTCTCTTCTTGTCCCCACCACTTTTCTGTCCACTTCCTCCTTTCCTTATCTTCCCAAACACTAACAGGTGCTCTGTCGTCCTCACCCCCCACGGCCGCTTGCCCTTGCTCCTGTCCACTCCTCGAGCTGCACTCCACCCTCAAAGCTTTGCCGTCTCTGTGGTTTCTGGTTTGCTAGAAAAGCAGCTGGACCTCACCAGCATTCTCTGTCAGGGAACTACACCTCCCAGATCCTTTCCTGGGTGGCTTTTTGCCATCAGCCCTCATTTCCTACTCCTGAAACGCACTTCCTGTGGCTAGTAGCAAGCACAGCGTCTATCTCTGTACATCAAGTGATGGAGTCCCTCTGTGTATGAGGACGAGTCTGCTCTGTCCTGCATTACTGGCCACTTCCTGTGTCAGTCTGAGGCCGCAGACCCCTGTGATCAGGAAGCACTCAGTGATTCCCTCTGCACAGTGCCCTGTAGGACAAAGCTGTTGTGAATGACCGTGACATATGGGACTGATTTAGGCCATATGATTTGAGGCTTTGCTTCTTTTTTAAGTCTGGTGACCTGGCAAGTGACAAAGACATAGGAGAAAGCGTTTCATTGTAATATTCTCTAGAAGCTAAATCTGGGACCACTAGGCAGATGACTGAGCTGAAATAGTCCTTGAAGTCACCAACTGCGTTGCCCAGAATCTGGCTGCATTCAGAGTGACGTCCTCCTGCTGTGCTGTGACTGCGGAATGCCAGCCCTTTGCTTTCTTGGTTGTTTGTTTTCCTTAGTCTGCTTCATTGCACCTGTGCTATTAAAGACTGCAGAGAAATGTGTTCATCATAGAGCTAAGGGAGGCTTTGGGTTTTAGGCTATACATTGGCAAAATGGATGTGTGTACGGAAGTATCAAGTGTAACCCTGCAGTCTAGCACTAATGTTTGTAAAATTGTACGGTAATTCCATTTTTTGGAAAAATAACTGGTGGCCTTTTAATGCAGAGTCATTTGGCATCACTCTGAGATCCTAAAAAGAAACTTAGAAGTACCATAATTTAAGCAGTCAGTGGCATGGAAAACTCATGCTTTAACTTTTCTTTAACTTATCCTAAGAAAATTAGGGAGCTTATTTGATTCAAGAATGAGAAATGAACTCCAAATAAAGCTCTGCTGACTTTGTGTTTGTAACACACTTTCTCTCTCGCTGTTTATGTTTAGAAGATAAATGCCCTTCCTGGATATTTTCTGTACCTCTTACCTCTGGGTGTCTATTTGAAGGGTTTTGTTTTGTCTTGTTTCTCCTTTAATTGGCTGCACAGGAAGATCCATCCTGCATTGTGAGTTCAGCATTTTCTTCATTGTCTGCCGTGCATCCCATTGTCTGTGCCCACACAGCATGGCCAGTGCCGCATCTGCCTCCTGTACGGTGCAACCTCTCCAAACACAGAAAGCCCCTCACGCAGAGCATGCCCATGTCGTCCACATCTGGCGCAGGGATGGAGAGCGGACCCACCCGTAGCTCCACGTGACACTGACCGGTTTCCTCTTCCTGTTGGTTTCCCTGTTACAGATACTGCAATGAACATCTGCTCTGCCCACCGCACGTGTTCTGGACAGGCTGGGGGCCTTGGGAGAGGTGCACTGCCCAGTGTGGGGGTGGCATTCAGGCTCGCCGCAGGACCTGTGAGAATGGGGACGACTGTATAGGCTGCAACGTGGTAAGTAGGCTCCTCCTCCTGGCCAGCCCACAATCCAGAGCTGGGTGTCCAGGCTTCACAGACACTGAGTGCTCTCCACACACTAGGTATTCTTAATAAACAAGACACATGCACACACTAGATACTGTAGGCACCCTTGATTCCCTAGACGAACAAGGTGTTCTGCAGCCACTTTATGTTCTGCAAGTCTTAAATGTTCCACATACCCCACATGTGCAGATGCTGGCTGGCTGTAGGTACTAGGTGCTCTCACATTCCAGACCTTCTGCAGCCATTGACTGTCAGCAGTCACTGTGTTCTGAAGATTTTCATTCTCTGTGGACACAACATGTCCAGGTACCAGGGGCTCTGCACACACGAGAAACTGCATATCACACACGTTTCTCTGGTTAGTGACATGTCTGCATGGAACTCTGAAAATTTGAGATACCTGAATTAAGTATTCACGTATGGGATAAACGGCCCCCGGACTTTTCCAGTCCTGAGTTCTGAGCTATGACCACAGCTTCAGCCAGCTGACTCTGATCTCCCTGTTTGGTTTGGGAAAGGGGATCATGCCCTGTGCCTGTCTCTCACCAAAGCACAGAATGAAGGACGAGTCCCACACACGCTGGGGACAAAGAGCTGTAGGGCCATTGTCAGGACAGTTTGGTGCCAATTCAGAGAGAAGACAATTTATGACTTTGCTTTTCCCCCACCTTAGAAGGGCATATTTCTTCTAACACTTGAAACTGTGGAGGAAGCTTTGCCTGTGAAGCTGTTTGCTCTAGCCCCTTTGTTTCTTGTCCTGATTCTTCTGCGAGGATGACTGAGCCCTGGCACCTGCGGGGCACTCAATGCACTCGCCTTCCCTGGTACCAGCTCCACAGTGCAGGCCAGTGACCAGCGAGCACTTGGCAGAGAAGCTCAGCATCTCCCTGTTGGCCTTTGTGGTTGGTCTCTGCAGCACTTCCACCGCTTGGTTTGTGAGGCTGAGCCAGAATGTCTCTGTGCTGCTGTAAAGCCTGCTTCTGTGAGATGCTAAGCCCCACATACCCGACAGCCTTGGGATTTCAAGGAGTGGATGAGGGCTATGAGGTGCTTTGCCATATCTTATGCTAGACCTATAGAGCACGTGTATTGGAACTTGCAAATGTCATTTCCCCCTCTAAGCTGACGAAGGCATCCTAGTGGCTTTAATTGAATATTACTTACCAGAGAGGCAGTTCTTCTCAGATGAGTCTAAACTAGCCCTGGACCATGAAAAATCCAGTGTGCAGGATACATAAAAATTTTATTTTTTTAAATAAATAAAGACATATAGATAGATAGACATTTCAGATACTAAAATTCAAACATTTTTTAAAACGAGAAGGATAAATTATCAACACTTGCAACACTTTCTGGAAAACCCACTGCAGTGGCATGCTTTTATCCTTTGCTGAACTATCTCATCTGTTCCTGCTATGTTATTGTCTGAGTGCTGTGGGATGCATTTCTACATCAAAGTTCACCTCATCTCAGGAGTCTACAAGAGAAGGTGACCCGGGGCTGGGGATTTAGCTCAGCGGCAAAAG